TGACTTTTTTGCTGATAAAACAAAACATTTTTAGTATATAGCCACTGAGAACTATGGCAAATTTTAAGAATGTTTTTACAAACTTATGTCACTTATGAAAACCACATTAAATGATAAGAATTTTAAAAATTTTGTTACCCCAGTGAAAATGCATGGATTCAACAGTAGCTTTCTCCTTTTAGCATTGCTACTAATAGTTTTAATAGCTTTATTAGTAATTACTGCACATGATATAAAGGTCACTAGAATAGAAAGGTCCTATTTTAAGTGCATCTATAATTGTCATCTACTATGTCTTTTCTCTGAGAGAGCAGCTATCAAAAACTGTGCAATGACTAGACTAAAAATAGAAAAACATGAAAATGGTAAGGCATTTATCACAAAAGTACAACATTTGAATAACTTCATGCAGCTAAGAAGCCATATTTTCCTTAATATGGCCTATGTGAAAGAATAAGCCCATGTTCCAAGCTGGGAAGTACCTACAGTGTTTTGCAAATAAAAATTCTGGAAGAACAGAAATTTCACTGTGACCTCTTTCCCCATTGGAACTGAGTCAGCCTGCGTCTTTACTTTAGTCTTGCTGACATAGATCCCTCCTTAGCTTCCCTTCAAGAATTGATGGCATTTGTTTGTTTTTTTTTACATAGAGTACAAGAGATGACCTTTGACACACATGTAGTTTAAAATTGTGCTATTTTTCTTCTACCTACAACCCACCGCCAAAACAAATTAGAATTTGACTAATCTTTCTTTTCCAACTTGATTATCTCTGTTAGATTAACACAAATATTTGTATGTGGTTTGCATAATCGTTTTTGTTTTTGTTTGAGACTTTGCTCTGAGTACTTCCTTGGGCTTATGTAGTTCCATGTTTATTCTTTTGTATGTTTTCCAATGTTATCACCCATGTCTGAAAGTAAACATTGAGATAAAGGACTTCACCACATATTTCCTTCTCTCGCTCGCTCTGTCTGTCTGCCTGCCTGTCTCCCTTCCTCCCTCCTCCCTTTCTTTTTTCTTTCTGTGCTGTGGATTAAATTCAGGACCACATCGTCTATACCACTGAGCATCTGTATCCCCAGAATCATCTCTCTCCCTAGCCTCAAATCTTATATAACACATTTCTAATATTCTCGAAGAATTTATCAGTTTACAACTTTATTTTGTGTGTGACTTATGCTAGTATATCCTAAACTTCTTCAAGGCAGAAAACTATTGCTCTGTGCTCTAATACAGCAGAAGTTCAATTAGTGTTTATGAAGTGAAGGGTCATTATATGTGTTATATTTTGCACACATTTGTATCCATTTCATTATTTCAGCACAGTGTTTAGGTGATTTCCTCATAGATCAGTATTGCCAACAGTATCTGCTGTCCTTCCACTTTCATGATTTACCAGACTTGCTCCTAATTCTTCACACTGCTGATCTCCTCCCCGTCCCCACACAAGGTACACCGAACCTTTCCCAGCCTTTGTTTCATTACACTGTTTTAGGCTTCCTCCTTTCTCTGAACCCAGTGGCAACTGGGTATTTAGAGCTGCTCAGAGCTCACAAGGGCTGTCCAGGAAAGGCTGAGTCTCTTTATAAACCACTGACGATCACTCTGGCCACTGGGCAGAAGTAGACTTAACTTTGAATGTTGACTAGTAGATTTTTCTTATTTTTAACTTTTGAAGCTTTAATAACCCTATTCATGCAGGAACTACAATCTAAGTGGCACAATCAATAACATATTGAATTTTTTTATAATTAAATAAAAATTAAACAACATAAATAGCTATTGCTGGTAAATTTTTTCAGAAATGTATTAATTGCTTAGACTAATTGCTTAGGTTAATTGCCTATTCTTTCTCTATAAAAAGAATAGATTTAGAATTAGTCAGAACTAAAGCTTAGCCCTCAATCTACAATTTTTGAATTATTACTTAATTTTTATGATATTGAGTTTCCCAGTTTAGAAAAGGGAAAAGATAAACTCCCTACCTCAAAAGCCTGTTGAGTTTAACATGAAACATCTACCATAGTATAGTGTGACTACATTTCCTTTCCAGGTATCAAAGCCCACATTTTCTCACTGTCTCATTTTAGTATCAGTTCCTCTGCCCTACTTGACCTCTAATAAGTACTTAAGGAAATGGATAGGTTTGTTCTAAAAGTGCTTGCTCTTCTTGACTTTCAAAGATGTTAATTACAAGTTAAATTAGTAACTATTTGTCTCTATTGCTACACTGTAATACTGACAGATCTAACTAAACTATGTGAGAAAGAATATTTCAGATAATAAGTAGTTCCATCAAGGGGAAAAGAAAATTATGTTTAGCATTAAAACAAAGAACAACAAAAAAGGGAAAAAAGAGGTTTAAAAAGTATATTTTTAAATATTCTTTGAGAACTGGACCGAAGAAAATATGAGACCTTCATAAAGCAAAGTTGCTTAATTTAGCTGTCAGAATTAGTTTTATTACAGGAAAGTACAAGAACTGTAAATAAACTAATAGGAACCACAAAGTAAAGGGAGATGAGATAGGAGAAAGGGAGAAATGACAGACTGAAAATTTCATTAGTGAAAAAAATATGTTCATGCATGCTCATGCATGTATGTATTTTGTAGGACAACATAATGCCTAATAAGTAGATAGTTAAACAAATAGGCTATTACCATTTGTCCATTTATCTTTGATACTAGAAAATCATTCTCAGCCCACAGGAATTTTGAGTGTGGCTTTGTTTTAGAATGATATAATTGGTTTAAAAAACATTTAATATTTGGAATACAACACAATTACCGCTTCACAATTACCACTTTAGTTTTGACTAAATCTAAATCTATTCTTTTTATAGAGAGTAGACTTAATTAATCTAATCAATTAATACATTTATATTTTGTTTATTCCTTCATAACCAAAAGTATTAAGTATTTATTTTGATCATTTCATCAATTGAAGAATTGCTTTATTCCTTAACCACATGAATTTAGACACAGGATTTTGTTAAATTAAATACAGTACAGAATTTTAAGCACTTTCATGAAGTGAACCGAAATAATAATATAGATTCCAATTATTTTGTGTGTGTATCTAGAAATGTATGTAATTTTCTTTTTTTCTGATGTATGATATAATCACCCAGTCTTTAAGATATATAAACATTGCTTAAGAACAAAAAAAGTCTATTAACAAGAAATATTTATTCTCTCATTTTCTAACAAGATCTAGGGAAAAGTGTTAAAAGGGAAAAAGGTGTGAAAAATAGAATTCATGTATATCTAAAGCATTAGACCTGTCTTGTGGGTTTATTTCATGAACTCCTTCACTTGAAAAATCATGCAGTTCTTAAACTGAGAGTGAATAAGAAAAATATTTGGTTCTCCTCCACCAAAAAGATAGACATAAACCTTACTTCAAAACAATAAATAAATAAACCAAACTTCAAGCCTCCCCAGTTTTCTATCTGCCTGCATGTTACAGATGCTGAAAACAAAGCTGGGTGTCAGTGACACTGCGGATATCTGAGACTGGAAGCGCAGCGCCAGTACCTGTGTACAGGGATTCTGTCCAGACATGCTGAAGCCTTCGGCAGAAACACAGTCATTTCAGCCATCTGCACTTTTTTCTTCTTATATAAACAGTGTCGTCTTTTTCCTTCTTCAAGGGAATCGTGTGGAGATTTTACTCATCCTCCATAAGCCTACTTAATATCAAACTGACACATGGCTTAAACAAATAGAACCTTCAATGTACTTTTGTTTTGTTTTGTTCTAGAGCTACTGTTAGGAAGAGGGGCATCTCTGAACACTTGCCTCCTAGCCCCGCCCCCCCAAAACCTTTTTAAATAGAAAGAAGGAAAACAACCAGTATGTGCCCTCAGCGTCAGACTCATTGCTAGTAAATTATTTTCTTTGAGTATTATACAGCATGGAAGAAGTAGGAATTAGGACATCAAGAGGGAATTTTCACTTTTAAAAAGTCTGACTTGGAAAAGAGAGGAATTTTGAATATAAAAGGAGAAATAAGGTTTCAAACATCAGTTTTACCCTACACTGGTAGGTTGCTTTGCACATTAGTGAATTCTTAGATGTCAGAATAAAAGCAAGAAGGAAGGAAGTAGGAAAACAATTAACTAGTTCTAAGGATAGCAGTGAGCAATGATTAATAAAAATTAAATAATACACATTACCAAAGATTGTTCATCTGAGTAGCAGAAAATCTCCACTCAAGATTAAACAGTTATGTGATTTCCTATAAGACTCAGGATTATTTGACAGGGCAGATCAGTGATATCATTAGGATTGAGTGTCTTTTCATCTCACCCACCTGCCGTCTTTTTCTGTTGGTTTTTTCTTCATGATGTTAGCAAAATTTCCATTTCTGTAAGCAACCTGTCCCTCACACACCAACTCCAGCTGAATGTCCCTGTCTCACCAGCCAGAACTGGGTCATTCACTGGCTCCTAAAGTAGCCCCTGTGTAGGAAAGTAGGATTTCTGGGACTGAACTAACTTAATTAGAGCTGAAGTGGGAGATCACCATATAATAGACTACTATGCTGCAGAAAAGATGCAGAGAGAAAAACAAAGTTGAAATTTTATTGGAAAGAAAAGAGGAGAAATTGAAAATTGGGTAGACAATCAAGGGTATCTGCTATTCTATATTCCAAAATCCTGTAGAATTAAGGAGTGCAGACAGGTGTGGAATACATGAAAACAAGAACATGTAAATAAAATTTGCATCCAATATTTAGAAAAGGAAAAAAGAGCATGCATGTAATTCTTAAAGATGCTGAGAATTAAGTTAAATGGCAAAACATATTGAAATGCAGCCTTTATCATACTGTTTCATATTGGGAAACTAAGTTTTGTAGAGACGTGACAAGCTACACAACTCCTGGGCAAATAAGAGAGAAGGTATCTGACATAGCATTAACAATTTTACTATGTTTAAACATATGATAAAGGCTAATGGTTACGTTGTTTTTCCCATTTCTGCTTCTCAATTAGGTTTCTGTTATCAGCGGAACCTATCTTGGTTTGGATTACATGAGTAAGCAACATGGCGGTGAAGGTGGCATCATTATTAATATGTCATCCTTAGCAGGTAAGGACAATTAACATGTTACGAGAATAATTTTCTTATTGGTAATTTGGATGACCAAAGTAAGTCTTTGAAGTATATTTATCATCAACTCTGGTTTTGAAATTGAAACACTGTTTAAATTTGTATGAGTCTACGAAATTCTGTATTGCATAATATCCTATATTTGAACTATATACTTATTTAAAGTTGCATCTTTTTAAGTTATCTTACTGACGTACAGGCATATTTTTCCAGTTACTAGTTTTCAAAGGTTATTGTGACATCCTGAACAACAGTGCAGATGAAAGCGTCTTCTCTTTGATAAAGCAAAAGGAACTAAAGTGAAATTAAGCTCTCTCTGTATCCATACAATTTTATAAGACAGTGTAATTTTACAATATAGATGCATAAGAGTTTGAAATGCTAAACTTCTTTAATAAGTAGACACATTGTGTCATAGTTTCTCTTTTCTTTTCTTTTTTTTTTTTTTTTTTTTTTTTTACTGGGAATTGAACTCAGGACCTTGCACTTGCC